GAGTTAATTATTTTTGTTTCATAAAAGCAACCCTGCGTGCTTGGAAGGCGTATGTACCAATAATTTCATCCCTAGCATATTCATCCCTGAGGAAGGCAGTCGCCAAATTCACCGAAGGTTGTTTACTGGTTACATTGTGTACATTGTGGAATAATACAAGTGAGATATCTTAGAGTTGACAGATAGTTGACAGGGTGTTCAATATGGCGATGACAGTGTGAACAATATGGCAGCCAATATAGCATACAACACCGAATGGCCCGAAGTAGCCAAACTACGACCCGAATGAAACGCTTCGTGAAAATCCAGGGTTGCGAAGTGGTATTTTGTTGGAAAATATAAAAGCCAGGATTTTGTGCAGCGCCGAATTTTAACAAAAGAGGGTTTTGTGTTCTCAAGATGAACAGAAAAGGGTTGCTGTGCTGTTTCGTTTTAAGCTTATTTTAATCTTAAGGTATCTAATTAAATATTAAAAGGAGACAAAAATTAAAGCAAAAATTTAAAATATATGTACATATCTGAAAATTATAAATAAAATATATATTTTCACGAGAGACAAATTAAATAAAATGGGTTAACTTTAGGGGAAATATACTTATCAGATTGGGTCAGATAGCGCTTTTACGTTATAAATAAAAATAATTCCTACTTAAATTTTATATAATTTTGGTAACGTATTTCTAAGCTGACCCTGAGATCTGTGAAATAATACATATTTATGTGCATATATTGTGTTGATTATGCTCTAAATCGCTAAATAATTCTTGCAGCAATCAGCACCATTGGAAAGTGAAGTGACAATAGGCTGGTTTTCTTTATACAGCCCGTTTTAATTTCGTATTATTGTTATAATAAATTATAATTATTGTTTGTTTCCATTTCGGTCAACCGCGCAAATTATTTATTAAAAAAATGTCGTTTAAAAATAGCAATTTTGTTTACTTTTGAATAAGACTTTATCGAGTGCGCTATAAAGACAGGGGGATAAATGCTGTAAAGAAATATATGTTGAGTCCAATCGGTTTTTTGCTAATCCGGTTTTTGTGTAGGTATAAACAAAGTATATTAAAAAAATAAATCTCCATGAAAAAATATCGTTATTTTCGTATTTAAAATTAATCGGAATTTTATGGGGGGTTATAAAAACTCGTTTTAATTGAAACTTTGTTTTTTTCGGCTATATTTGTTATTATTTATTGGCCCAGATGCAAATATTGAATGAACTAACATATTTTAAATATTTACGGAACTACCATTTGTATGCAACCCTGTCTATCCTGTATTCAAGTAGATGTAATTCGAAAAATTTAAACGGATTTCTTTAAATCAACCTGAGCTGCGGACATATTGCGAATTCATTTTAAAACATTAACCACTACATTATATTAGTATTAAATACTTTCAATTAAGAAACAATTCGTACTAGAAAATAAATATGAATCGGTTTATTTTAAATATTCCAATGTATATTTTTTGTTAATGCAGATAGTGCGGATTTAACGTATTTTATAACCGTTACATGGGGAAAAGAAATTTTAGGCAGATTGTTATTGACAATTTTTTACATAATTTACGATTGCAATCAATTTCTTTCAAAACTATAATCTAAATGATTGCAAGTTGTATTTTTTACGATCAAAACAGATTCCAATATTAGGTATATAATGCAAATGCAATCCAATTTGATTTGAGTTATTCAGTTTTAGATACATTTATATTTCTGTGTTCGTATGGAATAGTAGTTTATGTCGGGAAGCTGGCTTTAGTATAATCCGGCATTCCCTTTATTATTTACAACACATGGAATTTTTTGATGACCCTTAACAAGAATATGGACGTGCTAGTATCGGAACTATTTCTTGCACGTTTATTTATCCAAAATTTCTTCAACGGCTCGGCGCCAGTGAGGGTATGCTGCGAATGCCGCATTATACTAAAACCAGCCTTTCGACATAAGCTACTATTCCATACGAGTGGAGCACGTGCGAAATGCGGATTTTCCCAGTTGCAGTACAGCAGTAACTCGACACCTTCCTCACCAACCGCTCTGTCCTCTATGAGCTTCTTAATGTAACTGCAAATAAAAGATGAAAATTTGAGAAAAAATACTATCACAGCGTTATACTTGTAGCGTTTCACTCTTGTAGTATATTGGCTATCAAGCACCAGAAAATTTCCATCACGCATGCCATATGCCACCGATTGTCGTGGATCAATTAAAATACTGTCATCACAGCTTTTTGGTACTCCAGCAACTGGTGTGTCTATGGCGGAGTTATGTGAAGCTGTTGCATGACTAAAATCAATTTGGGCTCTTTGAGAACTGGCTTGTTTGTTGCGCGCTATTGGCATCAAATGTATGCAAATTAGATTTCCAAACGGCCAACTGTTGAATACAGGAAAAAATGTGTTTTATATGGTTCCGCTAAAGTGCACTACTACCGTGTATAAATTGGCCGACCTTCTAATAAATCATGCAATCCTATTGTATCGTCATCGCCGCCAGTCACCAAGAAATTTCCACTTGGGTGAAATGCAACATCATTCTCCGCGACGAATGCACTGTATTAGCTCGCCTTCAGCTTTGTCAAATATCTTAACGCGGTTCCAACTTAATGCTAAAGCCATCAGATTGCCGTCTGGATGCCATGCCAGCTGTCGTCCCATACCTCTTCCCCCGGTGAACGTTCGCATACATTCGCCTGAAAATGTATCGCAAATTCTTAACTTGTCGCCGCACGATGAAATGAACTTACCATTGGGGCTGAATTTTGCTGCGCGCACCCATTTGTGTGTATTTTGAATCAGTATTTTGATGGCTGTTCGCCATTTTTCTAGTCTGCAAACGAATAAGCTGACGAAGAAGCAAACAAATTCAAGCACATTGTTGCATTCTACCGTACATTTTAAAAGCTTTAAAATCTTAAAACATATGTGAAAAACTTTTATAATCTGAATATTTCTAATGTCGCAATCAAAACCAAATTTTATAAATAGCATTTTTAAAAAGCAATCATCTAATATTTTTCAAGTTTTTGGGCATATATGTTACCATTTGAACAACTAATACTACCAAGTTTTAAGAGACTATTTAATGCAACTCAGGTCAAAAAAGCGCACTTTAGACCAAAATAAGCAACTCTAAAAAACAGATGATCGCAGCTGTGGCCCAGGATGACGTCTATTGCTAAGATATCTCACTTGTATTTGTACACAATGATTGTGTACTCAATGTCTGGTTAACACTAATCTCCGGTAAAACATCGTTATCGACGTTACCGACTCTATGTTATATGCATGGAGCCGAACACGTCGATTATGATGTTTAAACGGAGATTAGTGTTAACCACATATTGAGTAAACTGCCCTAAAGCTGAAATTAGTCGAGAACGCAGAACGTATGGGATCCGTACGATAAGTCGAAAATAAAAATGTCGAAAGAGAAATGTCGAAATTTAAAAATTTTTTAAATCTCGAAATAATGTTTAACCGAAACGCAAAATGTCGAAATCGTATGCTTTCGAAATGAATAAGGTCGAAAAAAATGCAAGACAGCTTCTGCTCCAGTGCTTTTGGTGGGATATAGCCACACAAACTTGGAAAATGCATCCACGACGACTAAGATGTAATTGTATGCTTTTTTGGTCGCTTCCATCGGACCTACGTGGTCGATGTGGTACGTCCCCAGCGGCCGATCTTCTTTGTTAATTGGGTTTAGGAAGCCCTCTTGCTTACCACGCTAAGCCTCGGTCACGATGCAACTGATACATCTCTTCACTATCCTCGCTGCCTTTGCGCTTAGTTGGGGTATGTAAAAGTTCTTCTCAACGGCTTCTTGTGTTTTCTTGGCGGAAAAGTGTCCCTGGTTATGCGCGATTTTGAGGATTTCACCTTCCATGAGCGACGGAGCGACGATCAGCTCCTTAACGGGATCCTTATGTAGTATGCCGTGCTTCACGTAAAAGTCCTCGCACTCCTCCCGTTCCAAAACTTTGCACACTGCCTTTATCCACTCGTCGCTTTTCTGAGCTGGTCGTAGTCAGGCTGTCTTCCAAAATAAGGCAGGAGACTGCTTAGGGCATCAACGTGTCTCATCTTCGCGCCTGATCGGTGTTCTATCGCGTAGTCGAAATCCTCGAGGAGCATGGCCCAACGAGACACTCTTAAGCTGTAATTATCAAGAGCGTAAACCTACCGGTACGTAAACCCGAGTCAGCTGACACGATCTATCTTACCAAAGCGCCATGTAAATGAAAACTCAACACCGCAGAATTTTTCTGTAGTTGTAGAACGTAGCGCAGAAATCTGCGGAATATAGATTTTTCCGTGTCAGCTGATTTCTCCTTTTTTAGATGGTTGCCACTTCGTCAGTTTTACAGATGGTAAAAAAGATATAAGTTCCTACTCAAAATATGTTTAAAATATTTGAAATTTACTATTGAATAAGGTTTTTGTTGGGTCTGGTACGATACGTCGAAATTTAAATTGTCAAAACTAAAAACACCGAAAAAAAAATGTCGAAAAAAATTGTTAGAAAATCAAGAATGTCGAGAAAAAAATTGTCGAAAGGAAAAATGTCGAAAAAATATATCGAAATAATGTAATGAATGATGTGTAAAATTCGCGCGAATTTTACACATCATTCATTACATTATTTCAACAGGTTGATTTATTTAAGTTAAATTCCACTAATCCTATGTACTAATATAATAAATGTGAAAGTTTGTGAGTGAGTATGTTTGTTGCTCGTTCACGCTAAAACGTCTGGCTGTGTGCTGCTATTTAATGGCCTTCCTGAGACTTTTTCTTAGATTTCAGGGTTGTGTGCTGCATTATTATTAGATAAATAAATTTAAGCATTTGACAAATCGTGATTTTATTAAAAGAAAATTATAAATGGTGTTGAAAACCCAAACAAACGCTCGTGCGAAATCTCTATTTTTGTGTATTGTTAAAATTTATACATGGCGTATTGATGGTAATACAAGCAATTTATTCTTTTGTGGACTTTATGTTACTTGAGAATTTAGACAACGTGCGAGCTGCCAGGTTTTGTTATCAATATATTAACACAAGCTTTTCCGCGTGGTTGCCTTTCAATAAATAGAATAAACAAATATTCGCAAATAAATTGGATTTCTTTTATAACTAACAACTAACGTACGCTTTTTGTTCTTTTCTCCATTTTGATTTTGACTCTTTATTACCGCCAACAACTTTATGTGTATACAAGCTGTCAAAATTTTGCGTAGTCCAATGAGCTAGTTAAAAACTATGGCATTCGTATTCACAACGAGAAATCTCGAAATTTTTGTTTGGTCTTTCCAAATTTTCTCTTTTTTATTAATTGGCCAAGGCCCTCCGAACGTTGAGATAGTAATTTCATGTCAATTAGTAGAAAAGCCCATGTTGAAAAAACTTTTTATTATGGCGAGAAAAATTTACATTTCTGCTGTGCCAATTCGTAACTTTTTACTGCTGAAAATTTTTGACAGTTGCTCTGGGGCAAAAGAAGTTGAGCAATTAAAATCAGAAATTATACAAAAGACTTGTCTTTGCTGACATTTATTCTTCCAGAACTAAAAGCCATGCATTTATTATACGCCTTAGTAATAAAATTAGAACAAAAAAACTCTTCAAAACCGTCAGGCCGGGTTGAAAATTTTCATTCACCTCATAGTTAACAAAAATTTACCATCCGTAGTACTTTTCTATCAATTCGCAAATGCCGTTTGCACAAAAAAGGTTATGAAATGGGTTTTATTCAAATCGTTTAGAAAATGAGTCTTTTATGTATACCATTTTATGTGGAATTATTCAATAAATTTCGTTTTACACTATACTTTTTGAAACTATTTGGAGTTAATTATTTTTGTTTCATAAAAGCAACCCTGCGTGCTTGGAAGGCGTATGTACCAATAATTTCATCCCTAGCATATTCATCCCTGAGGAAGGCAGTCGCCAAATTCACCGAAGGTTGTTTACTGGTTACATTGTGTACATTGTGGAATAATACAAGTGAGATATCTTAGAGTTGACAGATAGTTGACAGGGTGTTCAATATGGCGATGACAGTGTGAACAATATGGCAGCCAATATAGCATACAACACCGAATGGCCCGAAGTAGCCAAACTACGACCCGAATGAAACGCTTCGTGAAAATCCAGGGTTGCGAAGTGGTATTTTGTTGGAAAATATAAAAGCCAGGATTTTGTGCAGCGCCGAATTTTAACAAAAGAGGGTTTTGTGTTCTCAAGATGAACAGAAAAGGGTTGCTGTGCTGTTTCGTTTTAAGCTTATTTTAATCTTAAGGTATCTAATTAAATATTAAAAGGAGACAAAAATTAAAGCAAAAATTTAAAATATATGTACATATCTGAAAATTATAAATAAAATATATATTTTCACGAGAGACAAATTAAATAAAATGGGTTAACTTTAGGGGAAATATACTTATCAGATTGGGTCAGATAGCGCTTTTACGTTATAAATAAAAATAATTCCTACTTAAATTTTATATAATTTTGGTAACGTATTTCTAAGCTGACCCTGAGATCTGTGAAATAATACATATTTATGTGCATATATTGTGTTGATTATGCTCTAAATCGCTAAATAATTCTTGCAGCAATCAGCACCATTGGAAAGTGAAGTGACAATAGGCTGGTTTTCTTTATACAGCCCGTTTTAATTTCGTATTATTGTTATAATAAATTATAATTATTGTTTGTTTCCATTTCGGTCAACCGCGCAAATTATTTATTAAAAAAA